CCGGACCGGGACCGGGACCGGGACCCGCCGACCAGGACAGGGATCAGGACCGGGACCGTCGGACCGGGACCCTGGGCCCCCACATCCCCGGGGTGGGCAGGGACCCTCAGCCTGGGACCACCCCCAGGACTTGGCTTCCCCAGCAGCGCCTGCCCGTCGTGCCTCCAGCCTGCTCGACCCCTCCATGGGCTGGACCCCTCCACACCTTCCCCAGGAGCAGCGTCTGCCCTGTGGGTTCACCCTCGGCAGGAAGGGGCACCAATCCTCCACTCCCAGCACCAGCAGAAGTACCAGGACTGGGACAATGCCTCTGGGAGAGTTAAAATTCTCCCCAAACAGCACGAGCCGGAGCCAAAGCTTCCTCAGAGTTCCCTCCTGGCTGCCTGCGCCTCGGTGCAGGGTTGTAACACTACCAACTCTGCCTAGCGACTCTTCCATCCTGCTTCAATTTCCCTCGTTGATCATAGAATCACTGAACCTTCCAAGCTGGAAGAGACACACAAAGACTACTGAGTCCAGCTCCTGGCCCTGCACAGGACAGCCCCAAGAATCCCACCCTGTGCCTAAGAGCATTGTCCAAATGCCTCTGGAAGCCTCTGGCAGGTGTTCCCAACAGCCACACCACTGTCCAGCCCACGCCAGGCCAGACTGAGGCTCAGTGCCCCTTCGGAGAAGAAAGACATATCTTTATTGAACTGAAAACAAGTGCCAGACAGTAATGAAACTTCAGACAAAAAAATAGTCTGTTGAGAGTATAAAAGAAACCGGTTTAGTCTACATTAATAACCTCATGATATGCAAATGTCAAACACTTCCATGCTACAACAACCAAACAGCTTCGTGGTTCTCCCTGCGCCAGCGTGGCCGGAGGATCCGACAGCCTCCACGGCAGGGCTGGCTGTGGGGGGACCAGGCAGCCCCTCCCCACTGTCAGAGAGTGCCAGGCACCACCCAACACCTGCACCAGGTGCTCCTCTCCAGCTAGGAAATCCCTGCAAGCTACAGAAGCTTGGCTTGCACACCTCAGTGCCCAGGGTGTCGGCGTCGCTCAGCGTGACACAGCACAGCCACCCTGCAGCTCGGTTAAGCCCAAATGCTATGTTTATTGAGGACTCTAATATCATGATACCTTAGTTCAGTAATTGGTGAAATACCTAAATACCGTTAAATATGCCTTTAAAAAACCCTAAACCAGACTCTGGACTAAACAGGATGAAGGTTAAACTCAAAAGTTAGAAGGGACACTGTTTACATTAACACTTTCTTTAAAAAATATAATTGCTTTTTCCTTTTCTGTTTTTTTTTTTTTTTTAAGTCAATTTAAGCACAGTGGTGAGACTTGCTCTCTTTTTCAGCTGTTACAGTGCAGCGTGCAGAGGTTTTCCTTCCCAGCTCGGAGCAGCCACTGAGCTGCCAGGGACAACTCGCCTCCCGCCACGTGGAAAAGAGTTGTGTCACCACTGGGCCATAAGGGCAGGCGGAAAACAGGAGTCTCTTGGTCAATGCCAGGATGTGGTTGGAAAGCCTTCCATGTTCTAGATAGAAAAGTCCATAGGAAGCTGTGAACAGGATCAGTCCAGAGGAGTAAAACTCTTGTGTCCATCCCACCATCAGTCAATGTACTGCGATAGCCAGCGGAAGCCTTCGCCGTAGCCTTGTCTCTTCAGCACACTGCACATGAACACCTCCATGGGCCGCGCGTTCAGGTCCTTCAGGGGCACGTTTCCCTGGGGAGAGCCAAGCAGCAGTCAGAGTCACACCCCTGGTGTCCTCAGGAGAGTCACTGACTCCAGGGAAGCTCTCTGGCAGCCCCGAGGTCTGCACAGTTCTGGTGGTTTCCAAACTTGCCCAAGGGCATCATCGTGATAGAATCATCACAGGATGGTTTGGGTTGGAAGGACCTTAAAGACCATCTAGTTCCAACCCACTGCCATGGGCTTCTTCCACCGGCCCAGGCTGCTCTGAGCCCCATCCAACCTGGCCTGGAACACTCCCAGAGATCAAGCAGCCACAGCTGCTTTGGGCAACCTGTGCCAGTGCCTCAGCACCCTCGCAAGGTAAAATTTCTTCCCAAACTCCCATCTGGCAGTGTGAATCCATTCCCCCTTGTCCTGTCACTCCAGGCCCTTGTAAACAGTCTCTCACTTCTAGCCTCCCATCAGGCACTGGAAGGAACCATCATCATCATCATCATTACTGATTCACCTTGGTCAGCCTTGTGGACAAATTCCCAGTAAGAGCTCAGTTCCTGGCTGGAGCCTCATTCTGCAAGGAAAGAGGCAAACCCTCCCCTGCCTGTGGATGATCCCAGACATGGATTCCTCCCTACCTTTCCTGTGGTCTGCCCGTAGAGCCCAAAGATCTCCCGCAGTTTCTCCTCGCTGATGGCCTCAGGTCTGTCGATTTTGTTTCCCAGGATAAGGATTGGCACATTGGATATTGTTTCATCTGTCATTAGGGCCTGTGTGTGAGGCAGAACAGGAGTTAAGCAGAGGCAAAGAGTTGTTGTGTGAAGAAAATGGATTTGTTTATGCTCTGTGATGAACAAGAGCTGTTTTTTGGTGCTTCCATACTCCTGTGCAGGACTCACAGAATGACTGGGGTTGGAAAAGAGCTCCAAGGTCATCAAGTCCAACCCATGACCCATCACCACCCTGTTAATTGTGTGTGAGGCAGAACAGGAGTTAAGCAGAGGCAAAGAGTTGTTGTGTGAAGAAAATGGATTTGTTTATGCTCTGTGATGAACAAGAGCTGTTTTTTGGTGCTTCCATACTCCTGTGCAGGACTCACAGAATGACTGGGGTTGGAAAAGAGCTCCAAGGTCATCAAGTCCAACCCATGACCCATCACCACCCTGTTAATTAGACCAGAGCACTGAGCACCACATCCAGGCATTCCTTGAACACCTCCAGGGATGGTGACTCCACCACCTCCCTGGGCAGCACATTCCAATATTTATCAAGCCTTTCCATGAAGAAATTCCTCCTGATGTCCAGCCTGAACCTCCTCTGAATTCTAGAGCCTGAGGTCAGCCCATAGTAAGGGCAACTCCAGCTCTGGGAGAGCATATGTCTAAATCCACACTCATCCAGTCCCTGCATGAAGCAATGTGCAAATCCCTACAAGGATACTGTAAAATCTGCCCTGGAAGAGCAAATCCAAAGCATGAGACTCTTAGAATACACTTTCCAGCCCATAAAAAGATGACTACTACTAATAATTTAGCTATTCGAAGGTCTTAGGGAAGGGAAAAAAGAACTAAATTTACATTCAGCTCCACTTTGGATTCCATGAGCCGTGAGTGATCTGCACAGTCCACCAGGAAGACGATCCCATTGATGGCAGGCAGGTAGTTCTTCCAGACTCGGCGAGCTGGAACACACAGGGACAACCACAGACCTGTGAATGCACTGCACAGCCAAAGCTACACCCAAAAAGGAGCCACTCTCTGCCTTAGGACCTCCTCAAAGCCATCACACTCTGTTCTCCCAAACCTCCCAGCCACGGCACCTGTGTTGCAAGGGTGTATTCCTTCCAACTTTTATGTGGACAGAACAGAGGAAAAACAGCAGGAAAACGGTTTAAAACTTCTAGGAAGTCTAAAACTAGAAGTTCAGCAATCATTCAAAATAAATCATATTGGAGACTTCCATGGCTAAAAATACTTCAGGCAGCACAGCACGACCTGGCAGCATTTCCTTCCCAACAGTCCTGCAGCCAGGAGCTATTTTCACATCCTGCTCCAGAAATAAATCCAGGCAACAAAACAACTGGCACTGCCAATGGCTAAGCCTTGTCAGTATCACTTTTTGGGGAGTTTTTTTTCTTACCTTGTTCATGTCCACCCAGATCAAAAGTTGTGAAGGTCATTCCAGCAATTGTCAGCTCCTCTGATGCTGGAAGGGAAAACACAGGCTGGGAGTCAGGAAAGTAAAGGACTCATGAACAGGATTTCTTGGGGATTGATGTTGGCATCCCATGTGCTCCTGCAGTAAGGGATTCCCTGAATTTCATGCAGAATTCAGGAAGTGACATGTTGCTGGTTCACAAGATCATGAGCAGAAGATGATTTCTCCTGCCTCCCACTGAAGCTTTTTATCCTGCAATAGTTAACCTTCATTACACTTTTACTTAGGAAAACTCTCCCTCCCCAGGAGAAAACCTCATTTCAATTCAACCATATCAGTTCCTGGGTGATTACAGAGAGGAAAACACAAACCCAACGTGCAGCTGAGGTTTTAAGCCCCTCCAAGCCTGTGACCCCGAGGCAGAGCCACCTCTGGGGTGTCTTCCAACACCATGTCCCCAGAATCCATACGGAAACGCCCTGACTTACTGGGATGTAGCGTGGGGACATGCTGGCCCAGCCTGTCATCTTTGAGCATGTGCAGCAGAGTGGTTTTCCCTGCGTTATCCAAGCCCAAGAACACCAGTTTTCCAGACTTCTTGTACAAACCTGCAGGGAAAGAAGAGAGTAGAAGCCTCCAGCAGGTGTATCTGTGCTGGAACGCAGCAACGGCTGCTGCTGTTCCTCGGGAAGCCTTTCCCAGAGCTCTGCTGCCACCTGTGCACACTTCCAGCATGGACACACGAGCAGGGACAACACACAGAGCCTCAACAGGCTTTGTCCAAGGCAAACACAGTCATGTTTACAGCAATGGACATGATCTAAGCTTGTATTCCCGTGAGTGTTCCATTCTTTTTTCCAGGACATCCCAGCAGAGGAATGTGCAGCTAAGAATTATGGATCAATCTGCCTTCAAAGGGTGTTTGGATGTGAAAACGGAACAAACTCATGGAAGACAGCAGTGAGACGTCCAAGAAGAAGTGCCATGCATGGAACAGCAGGTTGTTTCCTTCAGCTAAACTGATTTCTGTCTGCTTCCAGTCCCTCATCTGCCATGAGAAAGCTCCCTTAGGTTTCCAACATGTCCTTTTCCCATTCTACCCCTCTCATCTTCCCTTCCAGAGGTGCTCAGGATAGCAAGCATCCCATCCTCCCACAAGGGCTTCCAATGGGATCCACAACTCTGGCAGGAGGAGCTTTGTCATTGCCTAACCTCAGGTCGCTAGAGATGGGTGAGGAGAAGGAGGAAGAGGAGGGGGAAAAGAAGGAGGAAGAGGAGAAAGAATAAAGAGGAGGAGAAAAAGGAGAAAGGAGGAAGAGGAGAAAGGAGGGAGAGCAGGAGGAAGAGGAAAAAGGAGAAGGAGGAAGAAGAGGAGCAGGAGGAAGAGGGGGATGATGGGGTTCCCTCCCTGGCTAAGGGCTAAACAGGCCCTTGGCATCAGCCCAGATGTTCTCACACTTCTAAAGGGCACGAAAAACACTGAGTGGAAGCCAAATGCCTCCAATATCCCCAAAGTTTCTCCCCACTAGTGTAAAAATCCCTTTATTGATGTGCAGCTTCCTCCCCAGACTCTGCAGCACCCACAGCTGTCACAGAAAACCTCGCTCCCCAACCTTTAAGGGGTATTAGCCTCGGGAGAAGCCCGACAGCCCCGGGGGGTGCCCGGGCATTACCTAGGAACTGCAGGACGCTGCTGAAGCCGTTGTAGAGCCATTCGAAAATGAAAGACATCTCCGGAGAGGAATCGCCTGCGGCGGACAAAACCCCAACCGGAGT